TGCATTGAAGCTTCTGTACAATCATTGTATTCCTAAAAATATTGCATATTTGTGATTTTTTTATACTTGAAGTTCCAAATAAAGAATATAGTCAAGCAAAAATCCACTTACTGAGAGAAAGTACAATTCAGCATAACAGTAAAATGCAGCCAGGACCCTGCAGGGCCCAAACATGATGACTTATAAATTCAACAAAATGTTCAACAAAATGTATTTCTCCAGTCTTCAGAAAGGTTTTAAGGTTTAATTTTTTTTTCCCTTGAAAGTGTGTGCATCACAAAGAATTGCAAAGACTGGAATATTTTTTGGGTTGGAATTGAACTTTTTGAATTTGATTTCTTAAGTTACAAAATGCTACTTTAATGCCTATCAACATGAGTAAAAATAAAACTGCCAAAGTCTCGTGTAAAAGTTTATTTTTGTCCCTCAGCATTTTCCATCAAAAACAATACAGGTACACTGAYGTAAAAAATTAAGATCTCTAAAAAAAGAAAAAAATACATTTGACACCTATGTCAAATATGTGCAAAACTAATCAAATTTCCTTAAAAAGAAATGTAAATTTTGTCCTACAACAAACTTCCTGCAACGTGACTCCTTCTGCATTTTTTCTAACTGCGGTGGAATAAAGCTAATCTCTCCGCTGCAGGAGAAGCAGCCGGGTAAAGAGGTGCGAGGAGTCTGTGAGTGTGCTGGAACCATAACATAAGTGGCAGAAGGAGAAGAATTAATCACTTCAAAGAAGACCAAAATATGTGCTACACCTGCAGTGGTCATGCATTAAAACTCCAAATCACATTCACCCTCCTGAGCACAGATTTAACAACCATTTACCAAGGGGTATTAAGAGGATTTTTAAGGGGATAGAGGCCAGATTTTTCTAAACAGAAAACCTGTTTCCTCCTCTAGTTGGCCCTGGAGGTTATAATCTCATAGGGAATGGAAATKGTCTTTCATTTTCTTCTGATTTTTCAGCAGCATTGTGTCCAGATGAAAGCTGAACTCATTTCATACTTCACTTTCTCAGCTGTCAGTTGCAATGTTTATTTTATGGTTTATAATTGGTTTCCATACGGGGCTGTGAGCTGAAGCAACGTGTCAGTTATTTTAAGCATTAGTAAGAAACGAATAATATTTGAAAGCACTTCACCTAAGGGTAGACACCAGCTTCAAACAGACCAAATCAAAATCAACAAACTGGAATACGCACAACCTAATTAGTGTTTGACATTAATCATGTTACATGCTGATTAATTTTCAAACTGATGGGGGGTGGAGGGGGTGGGGAGGGCCTGTTTGCGATTTAGGCCAAGAAATAATACGGGACATGAGTAAACAGAAGGCTATTGTTAAAATGTGGTAACAGCAGGGAGATGAGCTGAAACCCTAACAGAAAAAATATATGGATTTATCATGTGTTTTTCWCACCAACATGTGGGAAACTACACGTCAGCTGCTTGTTAACACGAATAGCTAATCCTCCATCTAGTTGTTCTGATGACTTGTTGATGTTCAAACCAAGCGTTAAAGTGTGAAAAAGAAAGACTTAGGTGACACTGAACCTGGCTTGGTTATTGGCTGCTGAGTTTGTTTGTTTGCTCAGATTTGATTTGTTTTATGTGGTTGTTCACAGTATCACTAAAACGCTCCACTATGGTTTATGCTTCAGTATGACATAAGGCAGCGGATCAGTATAGGAGTTTTAAATTTTAAAAGTTTTACAATTTTTAAGTCACACTCATCCAACTACAGGAGCTGCTGAGAGATTTCTGGTGACACCACGACAATGAACGCAACACAAATCACAGCACCAGTGGGGAATCGGAGACTCGTAGCAGGATTCCACCTGGCACTGTCACGTGAATTCAATTCATGAGAAAGAAGGGGAGGTGGGGGGATTCTGTCAAGTGTTTATTCTGCCAGAAAACCACCAGAAGGCTRTTAATATTCAAGTCTTGGGGCTTGTGCAACTCTTGTGGTATGAATTTTTACTCTGCAGGATTTTACACACAGGGACTCTGAGTGCAATGAAGGGTGACAGGCAAAGAAGGAGTAAAAAATCCTCACATAACTGCTGTTCTGATATCGTGGATCAGCACGGCTGTGGATTAATCCTCTAACAACTATGTAACAGTGCGTAACGTTACTAAAAATAGAATAAACACGCATCTCTTATACACACAGTTTGCAGCTTGCTCACTTTTTTTTGCCCCCCAATCATCAAGCACCACACCCCCACTCCTTCCTCCCCACCCCTGCTTTTCTCACACATCCAAAATCACAGCCTCGCAGCACAAGCTTCAAAGAGCATAGATAAGTTGGGTGTAGCGCAGGACTGACTGCAATTCATCACAACACATACTTGCCATGATAATGTCATTTTCACAAGGAGAGAGCAGCATTTAGGTTTAATTCAGCCAGAACCCTCACCTGGACTGATAGATGGATGTTTGAGGGGAAAAAACTTCAAAGTTTTGTTGCCTTTCTTTAAATATTCACTACATTAAGTAATAACTGTGGGAGTAAAGGTGCACAAAAAGGTTGTTTGGGGACTCGGAAAACAAAAGCCCATGAATAAATGTGTATATGTTTTTACTATGTGTTAAACTTCCCAAGTAAAAATCTGAATTTTTTGTTCAAAATCCTAAAATGTTGATTGTTTTAACAAACTATTTTTATCTGCAAAACAAATCTGACATTTCTGGTACTGAGATAGGACAAATAAAGGCTACACTTTCCCATTACATGGCAGTAACCTAAAGGGAAGCCATTAATTATTAATGAATGAAATAATGGTACAAGCCAGTGTTGTTCAGTACAATAACAAGCTTTTAAATGGGCTTCTGCTAAACATCAGACATGAAAAAAGTATTTAAATGAGCTGTGCAGATACAAGCATGTAATCACCAAAATCTATATCAAACTATGAGAAATTAAAATCCAGCTGGACGTTTTGTCGGCTGCAGCCACAGACTCCACCCCCCCACCCCACCCCCCGGCTTTAAGTAAAGCATAGTACTTAAAAAAAAATTCCCTCAAGAATATTCTGAAATATGTTGCCGTGCTGTGAGCTCCAATCCTGAGACATAAACAGGTTTTAAAGCCTTGTATAAACTGGCTGCAGAAATATTCATATGTTACAGATTGAAACAGAGTTTCAATTGTAGATAGATAGACAGATAGATAGATAGATAGATAGATAGATAGATAGATAGATAGATAGATAGATAGATAGATAGATAGATAGATAGATAGAGTTTACCATGAATTGTTGCCATCACCTTTAAGGTTGTAATTCTAGGATAAACTAACAGGATTGAGTCATTTATGTTTTAGTCAAACCTTGTAACTGACCTTATGAGTGTTTTCATGCAGTATTGTGAGATCTGCAAGAGCTTAAAGTATGTTTTGAGGAAGACACTCAGCTACTACCACAATAAACTTTCAGCTCAGTGTTTGTAAAATTGACTGCAACTGAACTTTAGTCCTTTCTGGATAAACTATTGTGAGAAGACGATTTCTTTCTTTTTTTGTGCGCAGGTGCATAGCAGAACCCAACTTTGCGGGTCACATGTCAATAAATATAAACAACGAGCTCACAAAACATTTATGAAAAATCTCATCTGTGATCCTTAAGGAAATTTTCACATGAATCAGTTTAGAACAAATACATTAAGTCTGTATAAGGGCATAATCGGACCAGTTGAATATGTAGGGGTTACAAGTTTATGTCACCAAACAAGTGAGAGCAGCTGCTTCATGCATTTCTAACTTTTTTTAACCATTAAAAGTTTTATTGAGCGACAGTGGCAACAGGAGGTAGGAGTTYGTCCTGTAATCGGTGGGTTGCCGGTTCAAACTCCCACTTCGTTCAAGACACTTCATCTGCCTTGCCAGCTTGTGGTGGTCAGAGGGCCTCACTTCTATCAGCCTRCCTGTGGCTACAATGTAGCTTACCACCATCAGTGTGTGAATGTGTGAATGACAGTAGTGTAAAGCMCGTTGGAGTCACTGGACTTGACAAATGCTTAAGTTTTAAAAGAAAAAAAAATGTGCAATGAGTAGCACTTAGAGTATATATAGTGAATGACTCTCAGCTACAACTACATCAAATCTTGGCACATTATTTGTTAAATTGACTGTTTCAGTACTGGACAAAAAAAATCTACTGTCAGATGTTTTTTAACCTCCTCGGTAATTTCCTCCTGTTGATGATGACTTTTCTTTCAGTCCTGTGGCGCGTGCAGTCAGAGTGAGATCAAAGAGATTATGGAAAGTGAGCTGCGATCCTGCAGAGCAGCCGCCTGCCTTCACACACACACACACACACACACACACACACACACACACACACACACACACACACACACACACACACACACAC